AACCATCAGAGTCCCAGCTGCTGACACACCAAAACAGGGGCCAGTCCTACAAGGGCGATCTCAGAAGTGCCAGGAAGCATCGGAAAGCCACTCCCCAATCCTTGTCGTTTCCACTGGCCCTAGCCACATTTAGGTCCAGGATGTCCGGTCCCACACCTCCCCAAAAGCCAGACACCGAGCACTTTGATGCCATGCGAAGAGGGCTTCCCAGGCCTGTTTCAGGCAGGACCGATGGTAATGCCACTCGCCTGGCAACTGTCCCCAATGTGGACAATGTGACGTGGTCTTCTGGCTGCCCTCGGCACGACGCTTGGAAGCTCAGCCGCCGACTCAAACGGAGCAAGCGGAGAACTCAGAAGCACGGCATGCGAACCTGCGCTTCGCCAGGCTTTCATTGGCATTGGTACTATGAGATGCTACTACTGTAACCCCACCCTCGTACGTCTCCTGGGCTTGCACCAAACAGCACTTTGCTGAGCTCTGTGCGCCTCTCGATAATGAACTCAAAACCTCAAGGAAAGCATCGCAATCTCATCATGCATGAATGATCGGATTTCTCTTTGAGGTGGCAGCTATGCTTGGTCTCCAAGTGCCGCAGTCGTACCTCGCTTAGAACTCCATCTGTGTTTTTCTGACATGCCACAAGCCCGAGCCCGCTTCCAGGTGCTGTGCAGGGGCACCTGCCGCCACCATCCGGGAGTGTGCTCTTTTATTTCTCTTTCGCAGTAGCCTCGCAGCCCTATGTACTTTGTAGGCCGGTGAGGGGAACGCTCATTTTGCGAGCATGTAAAGGCCGAGTTAGCCTTCCCAAACGCATGGGCTCTATACGTGGAGGTGCACGAGCACCACCGTTTCAGTACGTTTCCAAAATTATCTTGCTTTTTCTTTGAATGCCCCGAAGCTGTTAGCCCGAAGGCTAGACAAGCCTTTGGCGTTTGGCGACTCAGTTCTCATGCAACGAGCAAACCGGACCGGCGCCACTCTGCGAGGGGGATGCTAGCCTGTGCCATGCACACCCCTAGGCAGGCACTCTGTACGGGAATGCTGCGGAAACACTGAAAACATGTCCAAGGACCCTAACTTCCATGGACCAGTACTAAGCCAATTAACTCGATCTCCAGCTGTGTTTGGGGTCCCGGAATATGCGCCCACGCACTGTCCATGTACCTGGAGCAAGTGCTTCAAAAGGCTAGGCCGTGGGTGCAATGATCACTACGAACCAAGAGCTGCCAGAAAGATCTGACATGGGTGTTTATTCAGAAATTCAGAGAGTTGTATTCTCACCGTTTCCATCCTTTTTCTATAAGGTTTGTCGGACAAACTCAGCGTTATTGTTCAAAAGCAACTTCATCGGATCAGGCTGTTGGGGTTTATGGGGTCAGATCTTCCATTCAGCCCTCAGTTGTCGCAAGCTCCAAAAACATCATTACGAAGCGAAACTTGCCCGGACGTCTAAAGCTGGAAGCTATGACTTGCAACGTAAATCGGACATCACGCCACTCAAATGAGCACGTGTCCAGCATGCATGTACGGAAGTGGCCATGCATGAGAGGCAGCTCTCACGCTTGGGAGAAGCTGCAGAATTCCGCCCGCTCCAGACCTTTACTCAGCGTCTGAATCCAGGCACAAAACTAAACATTTCATTCTTTAATTTCTGCCCATGCAGTCCGTTCCCGAGTCTGTGCAGCAACACTCCAGTGCTAGAGGAACTGGTACTGCAGGCCTTGTTCATCATGCCAGCACTGTGCCTATCTGGGGGGGAGCCATCTCAGCTTTAGACGGATAGCTCCACGGAAAAAGCAATAGCCCAAATGCAAAGCACGACCACAGCTGTGTTGTAGCCTTGTTTGAAAGCCGCGCTCAATGGAAGATCAAAAAGAGCGTGTAGAGAGCCACGCAACCTGCGGCACAGGCCAGCTCTTAGTCACACAAGTAGCTCATCTGCTTCTTCGTTTCGGACCTGGCCTCCGGACGCCCTCGGAGGCTGGAGCGGTCGAGCTAGAGATCTGGGTATCGTTCTGCTCCGATGAATTGCCAGAGGGAGCTTCTGTTGTAGTCAACCACGGCGGCAGGATTCCAAACGCATGATGGCGCAAAGAGGCTCTAACCCAACGTCCTCAGTGAGCATCTGGTGAGACAGGTGATATGATCTCAGAGGTGCAGGCCGTTGAGGTGCTACTCCATATGCTGCCCTATCTGACTAAGGGGATCTAATGGGTGCCCAGCTTTGGATTTTACAAGCATTGCCCGGACCTGAAGTCGCTAAAACAGTGCTGAGCAGTCCCCCCAATCCTCAGCATACTATCATACACTACTTTTCAAATCCTTGTAGAAACATCTCTAAAGGAGCCACCGCCTTTCATGCCACGGTTCCCGAGGGTGTGAGGTCGGCCGCACCCCAGTGGCCGTTGGTGGCAGCTCCCGGTTGCAGTGCAGAACAAGACTCCTTCTTGTCGTTCACCTCAGGTCTCAGCTACTTCCCTTCAGATCCCAGGAGAAAGGGTGTAGAGTTTACTATTTTGTGCCGCCTCATGGCAGGCCCCGCATCAGCTTTTCACAGGCTGTGTCAGGCGCCATACCACCAAAAGCCAATAAACGCAAAGCCTTCCCTCGTGCAAGCATGGTGCTGCCCAGTTCGCATCAGTAATATTGTACTCTGCCTTGGCAGATTGAACCCCGGCTGAGACGGTGCAAAAGAAAGACTATGAGGAAGACTGGACGTGAGTAGAAGTGCAATAGTGTCGTGGCGGTGACGATGACAATGACGGTTGCGGTGTTGGTCGTGGTGGCAGGGACGGTAGCGATGGCAGTGGTGCTGGTGGTTTTGGATAGTCTGCTGTGGCGATGTGTCTAGTTGTTGCTGTTGCTGCTGCTGTTTGCTACTGCACTTTTCACTGTTGGGATAGTTGTCGTCCTGCTCGTCGTCGTCGTCGCCTTCGCCGCTGCTGCTGCTGCTGCTGCTGCTGCTGCTGCCCCTGCTCTCCCGACTGTGTCGCGCGGCAGCTGTAACACTCGTTGCACTTGTTCTGTGCGAGTCGCACTTGTGTTTGAGGTTTCTACTGCTGGTAAAGTCCAGCCAGCCCTTCGCGTCACCCCGGAGTCACCCCGGAGTGCGCTTTCCAACGCACCTCCCAATGCAATATCCTAGTCCTAGCATCTCTAAGCCTCTATATGTAAGTCAGCCCTGTCTTCCCGCGAACGTCTTGCAGCGTTGCCCGGCAGGCATGGCCGTCTGTCATTCTCACGCCACCACTATAGCACTGATGTAGCCACGCCGTGGACATGACTTCACAAGCCTGGGTCGCCTGCCATTAAATCCTCCCATTTCTGCGCCTCCTCAAGGTCCAGATGTCCGTTCCCATTGGCTTCACACGTCCCCCACTCTGATACTAACCTTCGTGCGGCCAATGCAAAGCTGCAAAGACAAAGCGCAAACAGAACCATGAACTTTGCTCACTGCGCTGACCGCACGTTTCTGCTGACAAGCTGCAGTGCTACCCCCATTTCCACTGCCTTGATTGCCTTATCTCGCAGGTACTGGTGATGCGTCCCCGCATAAAAGTGCAGGGTGTAAACGATATTGTCGCCTGGCGGAATGCAATCAGCCGCAAAAGTCTGTTGCATAAACCGGGCACCTGCCTTGAACCCGCTCATTCGATGCAATATCAACGTCTTGCGACCAGGTTGGAGTACCACAAATGACAATGTTGTCCGAATAAGGCCGAATGACCTGCGCCGATGATTCTGCAAAATTCTGCAAATACACGGCTGAAGAACGCTTGCACGAGTTCTGCTTTCTACTTCTGGCAAACTTGACTCAGAAGACAGAAGAATCAACAGAGCAAGGGCCTTGAGAATTTCCTGGTGGTATGGCTTGACGGCCTTCCGAGAGCTGACACGACACTTCACAAAATCCATCGGCTCATGTTGGCGTAGCACAAAGCCTTTGGGGAATACTCGTAAGCACAAGTAGTTGCAGAGAAATTTCAACAAGAGCTTCAACTTTGGAACGGCTATAGATCGACATGTCCGAGCTTGCAGTACCACAGGACGGATGGTCCTGGCTCCAACTCTGCCAAGTGGGCTCGTTGAAAGTCTCGAACAGAACGTTTGGCAGGTGACCATATGTTTTGGCCTGCACAGGAAGCGCACGATGAGACTGCATGAGCCCCCAGCAAGGCAAGACAAGTGCATTCGTTCGGCCGGAGTGCAATCCGTCGGAAGAACGGCTTTGCTCTTGCAATATTTCTGTTGGCGTGATGGTCGTGCCAGTCGACAATGACGTACAAGCCTGCCGGACAAGTCATGGGCAAGGCTGGCAGAATCTTGGCGGGGTCGTTCGGGCCTAGAGCGTGCGCGGCCCAAACGACTCGCACGAGTTTGCGAAACCTGGGTTGTTGGATGTTGGCATCCGCACGCCGGAGCTTGTGTCGGGTTGCAGAACAGACAGTGGCTGCAGCAAGCATCATCATGGCGAGGCACTCTCGCTCTGGTCGATCGAGATATCCACCAGCTTCTACCCCCATGGCAGCACGGATGATCTGAATTCCCCAATCCTGGGACAAAAACAGAACATACCGGAAGGATTAGCAAAGTGTGGCGCTGGGGATGCGGCACGCTGCAGCCATCTGAGCGTATCCTCGTTCCAGTATTTACCTCCCCACCTCGGCTTCCCAGGCATGCCGAGCCAGAAAAGGCACAGCAGCTAGGGCTGCGGCTCTGCTGCTTACTTGTTCACCCGGTACTTGTCTTCAACAGCATCATCCAACTTATGACTGGCGCTCTCCCGCACAACACTCTGGATGTCCACGGCTGTTTCTGCGCGCGTTGGCATGTCATTGGCCAATCTCTCAGAGTCCGAGGGCTCCAAGGCTCTACACTGCTGTACAATAATGGCTGCAGGGCCAGTGCCGGAGAAGACTCGTACAGTATGCCGCCAGTGAATATAGAGCATTTGCAGGACGGCATCGCTCATCACGGTCATCATCGCAAGTGACCGATCAGGCAAACCGTTGGTTTGGGTTGCTTAACCCGATTGTTCCAGCATCTGCGGCTTTGGCGGACTCAACCGCCACAGCATTTCTAGCAAGCACTGCGCTCGCGCTTGCTCCACCGGGGGACACTGGAGGCATGCCTGTCAGTAAAGTCCGCCGCGCTTGAACTCAGACACAATCGCATTCACCATCACAGGCCTGGCGCACCCGTATTTCCGTCGAAAAGGCTCGCGGGCTGCGGCACCATCCCGATTGGGCGCACGCCCGGGGCCGGCTGCCTCACGAGATGGACCGTCACATCGTTGGATTCATTGGGCCATCAGTATCAGTCCTATGGAGTTTTCTGCGCCAAGCTTCATCACAGGCATACCAGGAGCCCCCAACCTTGCTGCAAAAAACTCACAGAATGTAGAAAGCAGAACCTAAAAAACCAGACTTGCCTCGCCTCTCCAGCATTAGCAATGACACTCGCTGACAGGGAGCGGATGGACTTGGCAATATTGCGGGAAAGGTGGCATGGGCGGTGTCATCTGGCAGCCTGCCCTTAGTAGCTTAACTCTTGCTGCTCTGCTGCGCTCCAGCCCAGCCGAGCAGTTTAATCTGAGGCTCATGGGACGAAGGACGGGTGCACCTGGAGCCGGAGCTGGAGGCCTCCGGTTTCCAGACACTTCAAAATCCAAGCGCAAAAACCTCACTAGAGATGCCAAGCCTGATCATTGGGGCCTGGGTGTAGGCCACTGGAGGCATGTTCCTGAGGCGTCGTGATGCGCTGTGCTGATTCCAATTCCAGGCTGCATGTTCAGGCTACTGATAGCAGGGCCAAAGCACAATGCTTGGAGGATGTTCTCAAGCTCCTTTTGAACAGCCTGCAGACATGCTTCAGGTCATGTACTCGCGTGCATCGTAGGACATGCAAAGTGAGCTACTCGTAGCCTCAGATTGGTTCTGCAGCTCTGAGGATTTCATCAGGTGGGACTCCGCAAGCCGACCTGTGGAAGACATACAGCTCAAGATGCTACCCACGAGGCTTCGCATGCTTCGCGTTAAAGGCGGCCAAGATGCGGTGTTCGTCGATGCCTCCCAGGTTTTCCGCCAGTGCACCCGTTTGGCCTTGCAGAACTTGGTCCAGCATCTGATGCATCCTTGGCACATCTCAGAAAGCTGCACTGAAAGCAAAAAAGCCGATGTTCCTCTCCAAGGAGCTGCTGCTTGATCAAAGGATCGCTCATGTTGGCCTTGTTTCCTACCTGGCCAGATACAACCCCTGAATGTCCAAGCCAGTACTCTGTAGGCCATGCCTGTCAAACTGAGTCCATTGGTCTCCGACTTACAGAATCATCAGACAAAACATCGAACGAGCATAATCATCATACCCGCGCCACGTAAGCTGACGAAGCGGTCAAAGTTTCAGGTTCCTGTTTCCCCTCCACTTAATCCCCTTCCTTATCCTGGCCCTCTGCCCCCCCACCCCGTCCAGTGGCCTGCGGCCGCGCTTCGCTTGCAGCCGGGCCAAGGCGGACCACGCGAAGCGTTTATAATCAAGTTTCTGGGGCTGTCTTGGGAACTCAAGTTTCTGGAGAGGCAGAGCATCATGTATCGATTTCCTTACGTGTGATGCCACACTGGCCTCACTCGCTTTCCCCATGAGCATAGAGGTGTTGCCCGCAATGCTTTCCAGCATCGAGTGGTACCTGATGCCGCTAAGCATGCCAATCGTATGTGAAGATGAGGAGGCTGAGTAGGCTATAAATGCATGGTTGTTGCAATGCAGCAACTGAACCACGAGCTACCACGCCTGCAAAGCCAAGTCGCTGCTTCTCTTTGCCCAGCTGATATGCCAAGAGATCCGCGCATCTGGCCAGTTCTGCTCGATAGCGCACGACCTGGGAGCCGACCGCAAGAGTGTACGGGAGACGTACATAGACTGTGAGCTGTGAAGCAAATGCCCCTGGTGAGCTGATCTTGTTGTACTACGGACTGGCACATTACAGCAATTCGAGTACCCTGTGTGGCACACATGAACGGCTACAACGCACTGGTGCCCGGCATCCTCAGTCAGCTGCTGAACCTACGAGTAGAGATATTTGCAGAAACTTCGCATCTGTGGCTTCAGTTATGGGACACTTGGCATCGCCTCACGCTCGAACTCCAGGCAGAGTTGCTCCGTCAGTTGTTGGCAGAAGCCGCGAAATGCATTCACCTTCCGGCGACCAAGCTGCAGCATCGTCAAACCCCGTGTCGATCCAGCCTTTGGGGCTGTCTCCACAGCAGCTGGGCTGCCCCCGACTGCCGACCCTGGTCCCGGTCTTGATCCAGGCGCGGGAGATCGCGCGAGTGCCATGGCAGGGACTCCACGGATGCAACCTCTGAAGGCTATTGTAAGGGATCTTCCTTGCGTCACTAGATGCTGCAATGCTGCAACCTCCATGGCTGGTGCAACTTCTAGAGATCTACTTCAGGCATGGCTTGTGGCCGAAATAAGCACGGATAATTGCGCAGCTGGAAGTCTTCTGAAAACTCCCCTCGCAACCATAGCTTCCGCGCGTCTCCCTGCGTAGTACATTTAGCAGAGGCGCTGTGACCAGAAAAGCGACATGCCGCGGAGCCGGACAGGTTCGCCGGTCTTCTGACCTCAAGCTCAGCAAGGAGCAGGCATAATGTAATTATGTGCACGGAAGTGGGGAGCGAAACAACAAGGAGGAGACTCTAAATCCGATTCCTCCTCCTCCCTCCTCCTGCTCCTCCTCAGATCGTCTCAACGTCAACGTCATCACCATGATCACCATAATCAGCCTGATCATGATCACTGTCAGCTTCTTCCTCAAGTATTCAACATGAGGATCGTCGTGTTTGCTCCAGTCTCCTCCTCCTCGTCGCAGAAACAGCAGTAGCATCAGTCCACTTGTGCTCGGAGTCGCGGTATGAATGGGTTGTTGCTGTAGTTGCTGTGGTTGCTGCTGCTGCCGCTGCTGCTGCTGCTGCTGGTCGTCGATGGTTGTTGGCTGTTGGCTGTTGAATGTCGTGCGTTGGTTTCGGCAGTCGCGGTGGTGTGCTTGGCTGCTGTGCAGTCTACCTCTGTCGTGGAGGAGCAGTTGCAGTCTTCGTCGGCACAACAGACTGAGGCCATGGCTCACTATTTGAGTCCCAACGACCCTCAGATGTCCGTACTCGGCAACAGGACTTCCTGCGCAGATCTCGAAAAGGCTCTCGGTACCACAATCGGCCTCGCAGAAAGGCGCCTTCTGGTGGAAAAGGCAGTGTCGACGTTCCAGTCACACTGCTGGTGCTCGAAAAGCTGGTGCTCAGCGAGCTCGAGCTCGCAGAGCTGGTGCTAGTGAGAGTGGTGCTGGTTTCGGAAACACTGGTTGACCTTATCGGAGAAAAAGCGTACGGGTAACGCCTGCCATTCCCTGTCTAGAGTACTCTCAGCATCTCTCAGCCAGGAGGCCGTGATGTGCTAGTGAATGTAGCCGTTTCACCGGCGAAACTGCAATAGCCCTCGTATGCGCCACCTCGGATGGAGATCCGTGAACTTCCAAGAAACTCCCTGGACAACAGAGAACTCCAGTCGTGCCGGAAGCGCGGTGCAGATGCTGCAGCAGCGCATGTTCCTACTTTCGCTATGAAGAAGAAAAGATCAGAGGACACACACCAAAAGCGCCACGTGTCACTGCAAGCCTTTGATGCTCGATGCTGATCAAGCTACCATTTGGCGGCGGGAGAGGAACAGTATCACAACTACCGCTCGGCGCTCCACCTCATGTGCAGGCTTGCATCGTGGGTTTTGCTGTGGTCGGGAATCAGAAGACAAACTACAGAAATCTGCCCCCATTCAGAGGGGCAGGAGTCCATCTTGCCAAGAAGCACGCCCAACTCACGCCCGTTCGGGTTGAGTAGCATGCGCCAGTCACGGCTTCACTATCGCAGCCGCCTAGCAAGGTGCAGCGACCACGAACGCTGGTGCTTCCGTTCCGCGAGCCGCGAATCTTTCGGAAGTGGCACAAACTGCCGAAGTCGTGCTGTCAGGCTGTGGACCTCCCTTGCATCTTCATTGTACTACTTCGCCTCCGAGTTCGTTACCTGGTCGCTGTAGTGCCACGCTACAATCCCGGAGTCCAGACTTTTTGAGTGATGTGCCCTTTGAGATCAGCTTTCAATACCTTTCGTTGCCTGAACCAATGTGTTCAGCCAACTCCTCCGGACATCCACTAGTCTAACCGACCTTTGGTTCCTTTCAACACGGGTTTTAGAATCACATCCTCAAGCTAACATGAGAACAAGGATCCGGCCTGGAAATGTGGGCACTTCTGTACAGCGTGTCTCTGCCATGCTTATGCCTCGGCTCCAGACAAAGTTGAGCTTATGCCTTCGCTAGAGGGAACTGTAGTTTAAGAACCCGCCAACATACGCACACCTGATTCCTCACCATCCTCCCGCCCCGACGATGCTGTGCCTAAACCAAACACAGATGCTGCCCCTGCGCACGGCTCGAATATGCTCGAATGCCGAGGCGAACGTATGTAAGCTCAGCCAGGTGTTTACAACTTGCAGCGGGGACTTTGGAAACTTCCAACCTTGCAGCTGATTGCAGCTGTGAAGCTGCTGCCGTTTGCTGTGGCCACGACCGCGGACGCACAAAGCAACCTCGTCATCGTTCGAGTTCTCCTCGGCACCTTCCGTCTCCCGGACCTTGGCTGAATTCCGGGAAACCTTCCGCTCGGAGCTACAAGCATTAAGCAGCGATGTGGGTCTGTCTGCAATGCGTCCATGGGACGCTGCGGCAGCATTCTTCTTCATCGTAGGAGCCCGATGGAACTCACTCTTGGAGACGTGTCTACGTGTCCAGTAACTTGAACGCATAATGGCGAGCAGCGGCAGGTTGCAAGAGTGCAGCGACACACTGAAACAGAAGTGCAGGCTGAAAGCATGAAGGAGTCATGGAAGTCATATCGTCACGGTTCCCTCGGGCGCACCACGTGGCCAGTTGGCCACCGGCGAGCTCGTCTTTGAGGCGGCACACTACTCGAACTCACCACCTGAATGGGAAACTAGTGCAGGCAAGGACAACCAAAGGCCCGCGCAAGCAGCTCACAAGCGCAAAGGGCAGTGAGTGGTGCACTGGCACTGCAGCAGCGGCCAGCACGGAGAGGGTAGCTCGGTGCGGTCTCTGCGTGGCCTTCATTGCCGGTGCGAGGGACGAAGCGTTGGACTGTTGGACTGGGAAACCCCACCTCTGCCCGTCTCGGAGGAAAATGAGCTCCCTGGTCCAGATGAAGAACCCGAAACTGCTTCCTCACTTCGAACTGAGGCTGGCGGTTGGCCTTCCAGCGGACTGGACACGGCGCGAGACCACGCGAGCATCCCAAGCTCAACATCTAGAGGATGCAGAGCCAAGTGTCTGAGTGCTTCATTGGTCTTCTTAACTGCGGGCTTGAATGCTGAGAGAACTTCTGCGTTGCAAGAGTAGCGAGGCATTGTGGGCATGCTGGTGTTCTGCTGCTGCCCACATGCAGCTTGCCTTTGCGGCAGAAATGGCTGCTTTGAGCCTTGAGCATCAATTCTGGTGCTCTGAGATTCTGACGTCACTGACGACGCCACAAGCTGCGCCGACCGTAGACCAAACTGACCGTCAAACGTATTCCGCCTCTTCCAGTCTGGAGAGCCGGTCAGTCCCCTGAAAAGCAGCTGAAAATAGTGACGGGTCCCAGTGCTCGGAACCGGGGCCCACTGAGGCAACGGCTGCACTGTGCTGCACATGTACATCCTCCTCGGCAAAGGGTGAAGGAAACACGGGTTGTCTGCGAAAGGGGCCGACAAGGGGCTGACAAATGCTGGACAACTGCCGAAAGTGGATTCATCCAGGTCACATTGCTGATGGAGCCGCCGTGACTAGGGGAGATGACTTCGAAGGTTTCACCACTGGCCTGGCCCATTGTACCGAGTCGTCATGGGTTCGAATTATGCGCTTTGTACCCGGAGCACCTTCGAATTGATCAGCTGGTGCCTCCTCAAAACCACCTCGAGGTCCTCACAAAACGAAAAAAATCCGACGGCGCCTGCATCTGAATGGGTCTGCAGCAGTGTCCTCTCGGATCCTGCTGATCTCTAAGACGGTCAATTTGTTGTCCGTCCTGTCAGCCACGAGCACTGACTTCATGCTTCCGTTACTTCTGTTGCAAAATGCACAGTCCTGATGCTGCGGACGAAATAAATGTGCTTCGCACCGCTTTCATCATTCTGCAAGTCAGTCAGGGCTGGCAACGGAAGATGACAGTGCGATGCATCCCCACTCAGGGTGTTGCCGACGGATCTATCTGGGCTCGGATGATACTCACCTTCATTGTCAAAGGCGATCGGATTCCAGTTGACATTCGCAGCCCGAAGCCCACCAAACCGCAGCCTGGTTCTTCTTGAAGACATTCGCAATTTCACTCATGATCATTGGGACGTCTTTGACCAAGCTAATGAACACCTTCCGCGAGACTGCTCAGGATTGCTGATGTGCCCTGGACGTACCCTCGCATCGTCCGCACAACATGTCGGAAAACAAGCAGAGGCGGCCATAGTACAGCTTGAATGGAGGTCGTTGCTAAAGCCGATCTCATTTCCGGTATGCACTTGGATCTGCACGGGTGACAACTTGAGCAGCACGGAATGGAAGAATTGCAAAGCGCTAACCGGGCAAGGCAGACAGTTGAAATGTCGATCGGGCCAGCGGTGCCCAGCTTCTCTTCCTGAAACTGCAGAAATGCTGTTCCGAACGGAGTGTGCGCTTTGGACAAGAGCGCCTCGGTCAGCATTCCAGAGGCGGCACGGCTCGACCTGCACGAGCTCAATGCAGCACGCGTGAGACCACCCAGAGCCGGGCCTCTCATCCTGCACTCGCCGGGCATGTTGATGCTTCACGCAGTACTGCACAGCCTGCGGAGAAGTGACCGAAGACACTTGCGCTTGTAGACTAGCCAGTTCCTCCTCCACGGTGGGAAAGAACCACTGGTCACCGATGAACTTCTTCAGGCCCGCCTAAACATTACACACAGATACTTCAACAACAAAACTTCGATCCTTTCTGAGCAACATCTCAGATGTACCAGCAGCCGGAGGGCCTTGCGAAGAGTCTTGTCGACCCGATTGCCTACCATGGCAAAAGCCACCTGCAGAGCGCGGTCTACGACAACTCTTTCGTTCCTCATCCCAGAGCACATGCTTGGTCTTCAGGAGGTCTGGCAAGATGTCTACATGACTGCTCACAGGATGCAAAGTGCCTGCATGTTCCTCATGCGGAAGTCGTTGACCACATCCTGCTGTGAAGCGAGGCAGCTGGAGATCCAGGGAGTTCAGGCACAAATCGGGCCGTACTGGTTTGCTGCTGCATAGTAAGTGCATTTTGCCAATAGACTCGAAGCTGACACAGAACGTCTCCTTGATGACATGGCATGCAGAGGAGTCCACACTGATCACTGGCGTCATTTCCAAGACTATGTACCTGCAAACGTTGCGCGCTTAAGGTGGCAAACCCGCCTTTGGCGGTTCGAAACTATGCCTTTCACTGGCACAGTAGTGATTAAATCCATCATCCCCTCCATTGCCACCAGCCGGACACCCGCAGAGCACTCGGTCTTGTTCACAATATCCAGGTCACTGACGTGTGCCAGCAACATGTCCTGCTGTTGAGAAGAGAACATCAATGATCGAACGCTAGGCTGCAAGATGCTGTCCTTCACGAATGAAGCATTGGCAAAGTACCTTGGCCGAGCAATGATGTGGAAAACATTCTGCAGTCTCTGCAGGCTGAGGATGGTACAGAGATGAACCGATCCGTGCGATGAACACGTTTTGAATAAAGGTTCCACTGCTCTCCTGCACGGATCATCGCTTCTAGTTCGAGACATCTAGGTCTGAAGGAGGATTGCAGCTCGACAGGGATACTGATCATATGTCGGTCTGAACGGCTGGCTGTCTGTCTGTCCGTCCGTACGCAGGTATGCATGTATGTATGTGTGTAGGTCTGTATGTATGTATAAATATATATATATATATTTATACACATACATATACTTGTGTGTATATGTATGTAATTACATGCGCTTCTCTGTGTATTTCTCTATGGATTGCAAGTAGGCATTTAGGCATACATGCAGGTCCTCACATGTCACGTGTGCATGTACGCATGCATCTACGCATGTGCGCATGTATGTCCGTCTGTATGCCTGTATGCCTGCGTGCATAGGTGTGTATGTACTTGTCCTTGTACGGACCTGCAGCATGTTGAGCTCGATGTGCTCTCTGTGCAACGACCACTGCTTGTCACGAGTCTCCATGAGGCACGCCACCCTGCGCCGCATGAGCCGGAATCCTGCTTCATGTTCCGATAGATGGAGGTCCCAGGTATCCGCCACAAAATGGTAATTTGTGGTCCTGAGTTCGGCAACAGTCGTAGCCATCCGGAATCAGCTTGAATAGGCTCAGCATCCGACTTGCGGACTCGTAGATGACAATGATCAGGGACAGGCCAACCTTAGCATGTCCCAGAAATAGCAGGTCCAAGAGTCCAGGTATGAGGTGCACTCCATGGTTTAGGCTATTTGCGGCTAACTGCTTTGCAAGTCGCTGCGACCATGATTCCCATGAGAACGCCCAGGAACAGCGTGCCCAGAAACGCAGTGACCTACGGCCACACTTCGAAGCGACGCCTGAACGGCGGGATGCAAGCTGAGTGTCTCACCCAGAGCAGAAAGTCATGCTTCTTGACGTGAAAGAGGTGCTTCGCCTGAGAGAACTTCTGCTCTTCTCTGCTTTGGCGCTGGATGCGCGCGCTGAGTACACGCGGATGGCAGTGCCTCCCCCAAGGCGACCAGGGGAATCACCGAGTTCATGACAATGGCGGCCAAAGCAAACTGAGCGCAGCTTGCCAATGTCTTTGTTTGTTTTATAGTGTTTTCCCAAGGCGTATATCGTGCATGGTGCATGGCGCAGTGCAGTGCTGAAGCGCTTGGACACTGGAATTTATGGCAGTCGCTTGAGACTCGGCAACTTGGATCGAATGATCCCATCAACTTTCGCCTTACTTCACAACGGGAAAGACAAACAAACTCACCCTGCACCCACACCACCACCCCCTTGCCCATCCCCATCCACCCACATGCACACTGCAAGGATTCAATAAGCATCCTTCATGGGTGTTTTGCCGGACGAGTGCACACACCAATGGCCAATGTCAAACCGCCTGCCTTGGGCAGGTAGTAGAACAACGGGGTAAGAAACCTTGCAGTTTCACCACTCATGCCAGCAACAACCAGGCCCTCCAGTAAGCTACTTCTCCAGGAAAGCAAGAGAGGCGGATATGCGGGGGAGGCCTGATTTCTGAGTACAAAGCATGTCTGCGGAGATACTCAGATCATTGGCAGGTATGGACCTAGGAGTGAAGCCGAGGCACAACAAGGTGCAGAGCATGACAATCGCTGTGATGACGCCGGAGAGCTGAGTTTGAGCTCCTCCCCAGGCTGACTTGAACGCAACTGTAGAGTCAGAGCCGCTGATGGCACTGATACTATGTTTTGGACGATTCGCAAAGATGCTGAACTACATTTCAATGGAGGCATTAGACAGAAGCGCTGCTGCCTACTATTTCGCACTCACGACTTGGAAGCAGCGTGCCTGTGGAATTGTTCACGGCAGAGCGGGAGAAACTGCAAGGTCAAATTAACTTCACAACAGATGCACAGGAAGACGTCTGCACGACACCTGCCTGCCAGTGACGGGGTAGCAGGAGAAAGCTGCACCAACAACATTGGAGATTCCCAGAGCAAGCATTTCCTGGCCTGCCTGGACAGGAAGTCAGTGTGACTTGTGACGCGGGCAATTCACCACCATGTTCTTTGCATAGCCGTCAGCGTGACTTTTTCGATCCTTTTCAAGCGATTCGGGCAGCGTCAGAATCACAGGGGGCTCCTGCTCCTTTGACCTCATCAGACTTAGGGCAGCGAAATGGCCCAGGAGCGGCTCTGACACTCGCAACACAGACCCTTCCGTAAGCCAATGTCAGCCATGTGACCACAGCTGCGGCCCTTTTCGCTGCCCTCTCGCTGTAGCCACCGAGCCGAGCGATGTGGTTCTCTGGCCTGGGACGACAAGCGAACCTGTGACGGCCTGCAAAGTCTAGGGCTCCCGGGCAGACTCGGGTAGACGTCCCCTTGCGAGCTAGGCGCAGCGTGGACCACTCCGGTCCAGGGCGACGCTCCCCGAAGTGCCGGCTGCGGTAGTCCAGCATGGCCGGGCAAGTCCTGGCTGCCAAGAACGTTCCAATCCCCAGCCTGATCCCCAACCGCAACCGAGCAATGGCCTCGCTCCCTGCATGAACTCCGCCTGCGAAAAGGCTCGGCAACTGAACGTTAGTCTCACTGCCACTGAAGGCACTGAACCCATGATGCAGCCGAAGGGCCCACGCTGCCTGAGCTTCCTTGTCGTCTCCTAGCGTGGCTTGACGCAGCTGCATCAGCTGAGCCACCTTAAGTCAGCTCTGTGCTTTCATGGCCGCTGAATTGTGTAATAGGCGGCCGGAGCGCCTTGGATGTCGGATCAGCTGCCGGGGCCTTTTCGATGAGGAAGTTGGCGTGGTGGACCTGAAGGGAGGATGCTGCCTGCAGACTTTTCCCAAGCCGCGCAAGGCCATTTCCGGGCATGTTGCCACCAGCTGCTGCGGAAGTGGACCGGAGAAGGCCATAGACGAGGCCCAGATGCTGCCTAAGCCATGCAGCCACTATACGCCGGTACCACCTTATGCACTAATGCCAGACTGCTTTCAGGCAAGACTGCTGGGCCATCTCTTCCATCGCAGACCGAAAGTCTCGGCTGCATGCCCGGAATAGAGGCTGTTGTTCACAACCTGGGCACTCTGTGGCATCAAAGCCCCAGTCGGAGGCGGAAAAACGGATGTATCTTTGTGTTTAGGCAAGTGACCCTCTGGTCCAGCGCTTGGGTGCGGCTGATCTCAGCATGCACAAACTCCCAAAACGCCTGACCTGGTTTCGCTCGGCTTTCACATCACATCGTCTTGCAAGGCATCGGACTTTTGTGTTGCCAGGCAACATGCTGCACTTTTCCGCATGGCCATGAAACCTGGGCAAGGACTGGCAGCGCTTCCAGGTGCGAGTCGTCAGCATTAGCCCCGTCGGCAGCCCGAGGCTTAGATGATTGGAGGCTCTGAACGTCGCGCAGATTGGGCGGTCCCGGTGGAAACGGTGGAACACCAGGCCGGACTAGTAGGACAGATCGGGCTTGCGTCTGTGGTGGGGCAGCTAGTATGTCGCACAGTCACTCTCCCGAAAGCATGCCGTTCTTCTGTGCCTTGCACTATGGACAACATGAAGGACACTGGCGAAAGCAAGCTGCCGATGTTTACTCCAATGTCTTCGAACTCCTTCCACGATCGAACGAGTTTGGAGGCTATGCAACTCTGCATTCTCGGGACTTCATGTCACAAACAAACATGGGGCGGGTCCTGCTGAAAGACTATGTCGGTACCATCTGCCATACATTCCCTGACAATTTCATGCACCTGGGTTGACGTCAGCCATAAAGCAGCTCCTACCTAGTGAGAAGCTGACGAAGACCGTGTCAATGCTCCAGGTCTGTGGCCGGCTGAAAGTACTGCACATCAACGTCTGTGAACAGGAAGATTTCATCAGCGTCCTGACTCAACAGGTGCACACTCACAAGAAGAAGCCGCTCTTGTTGTTCTGAGCTCTCTGCCACATCATTCAGGGCTTTGCCGATCTTGGCCGACTTGTACCTCTGCATACTTTGAATCAGCGAGCGAAAGGGTTTTGAGCTCTTGCACACGACCGATGCCCGTGGCATGTTGTGGTCTACACTTATGCGCTTACACTAGCAGAGTCATGAATTCAGTCAGAGAGAGAGAGAGAGAGAGAGAGAGAGAGAGAGAGACCATGTCTTAAGCCTGGAAGCAAATACGTCGGCATGCCACCACCGGCTCGATTGTTGCCTCGCCAAGCAACACCGTGTCCGAGAACGGCCCTCGCACCTGCCTGGCTACGAGTAGCATGCTTGAATGTTCGATGTCCGTGGCCTTTCAGGTCATCGAGCACATCCTCACACAAAGTGAAGTCTGCAAGCCCTCCACTCTGTTCCAGAGAGGCCACCATCCTCGGACTCCGCTAAACTGCAGTTGCCAAAGACGGTGGGCCATCAGCTCGACAACGAAGACATGCTTGTGAAGATTCATTTTGGGAAGCTCTGGATGTAGATTGATACTGTGCAGAAAAGTAAGCGGGGATTGCCACAGAAAGCAGGTTCGTTGGTTGCTTGACGGTGCAAGCTCACGAATTCGCCGAGGTGCTGATCTCGCAGTGGCACGAAGTTTCGGTCATAGAAAAAGAAAAGCTTCCTTGCTGAGCAGAATATGCGTAGGCTACATTAGCGGCTACATATGGCAGTGCGCAATGTCCAACGCAACTGCTGCGAATGCAAGCCCACTAATTGCCATCTCAGCGTCATCTCATGCCATTACAGAAAATCGAAGAGCATTGCCACAGCGTGCGGGGCGGGCAAACCAGGCTTGCGTGCTGGATCGTGCTAGATGCTGGACTGTCACCATGACAACTCGGCAGGCCTAGCAACTGCATCCATTCTCGCCATCTGAACACTGAGCACGGCTTTTGGACTTCACAGTTACAGCAGCTGCTGTACTGATCACGGCACAAGATCAAGAACTGAAACGCCACATCTGTCAAGCACCGGAGCACGCAAGAAGCAGGCCTCGATCTCGTAGCCATTGGTAGCTGCCAAGTTCTTCCCAATGGCAATGGACTCCATGTAGCCGATCAAGCAAGCAGACCTGAGCGGAACAGGACTCGCAACTTGAGACCTGGTCGTTTCCGTTTGCACGAAGATCACGAAGGCCCCGGCATTGCAGTTCCGACGACGGTGGGGATCTTGTCCAGTTGCCAGCTGCCGATCTCAGGAGCACATAGCTACTGTACACTCATGGACTACAAGACACACGAGCTTTCTGAGTGCAGGTTGATGAGCTCTGGGTGTTCGACACTTATTGGAAACAAGCCCGAGGGAATCTCCCCAACCTGGCAGGAATGACACTAGAAAATTGATGAAGGCCGCAGCAAAGAATTACAGGGGGGTGAACGTACTTGACGTGGTACTTTTCGCTCATATCCGGCCACCTCACATGCGCCCAAGCTTTGGATTCAGACAACGGTTGCTTGTGAGAAGAGAGCTCTGCTTCTGAGAGCAGCACGCCCATATCAGCACGGTTCCAGCGACGCAACTGATTAAGGGGCCTGAGGAGATGGATTGAAAGTCTGACTGGGACTAAGACATCCCGATGTTCACATACTGAGAAAGAGGCCCATGGGAGCCAGCATCTTCAGCCGTCGGTACCTGCATTACGCAGAGCATCTTGTAAGTTCTGAGAGTAGCTCGGAGCACCTTGCTGCAATTTGCTTGTTGCTGATCAAGTAGGCCAACCAAAGAACTCCCAAGAGCAGGGGCATCCTGATCACGGACGAATCAAGCTAAAGTCCACACAGACTAGTGACTAGAGTGCTTGTGGCACAACGCATCTTGCCCGTTGGCAAGACCATGTTCACACCAGGGGTCGGCTTCGTTTCCTGGATATTCATGGCGACCTGGGTGCACAGGACCCATTGACCCATTGAATCTCTACTTGCAAAATCCTGACCGTAACGAAGCCTGTGGAATCCTAGACGAATGCGTAAGAATCAACATGCGGCAGCAGACAGTGAAAGGGAAATGGACGAAAAATGGATTCGACTGGTCACTCACCGATCATGGTAGAAATGGCGACCAAAAATGGAAGCAGGCAGGTAAGATGGGGACCTTCTAGAAAGCAATGCCTCCTTTTAGTGTAATTATGACGGGAAACAAGGCTTCTGCTGCTAAAATGTGGAAAGGCTCGAAGACACGGCTTTTCAGTGAATACGACGCATTTCATTTCGGCAGACTCCCAAATAGGCCTGCCCTAATCATGGTGTGGGCTGGAAGAAGGCTTGATACAATTCAGGTGATGTGATTGATGACAGCTGCAGCTTCCACCAAATACGGTGCGGAAAAACAAGATCTCCGCTAATTGGCTGCCGCGCGTTAGAATGCGACAGAATTGTTGGCATTCCGTGAATTCGAAATTCGAGTTGCCAATGATACAAAAGCGATGATGCTCATTGACCGTCCTGGCGGCTACGAGTGTCGGGATGAAGAGCTCTTGTAAACTCAAAAGAAGATGGTGTATTACATGCCTCAAATATGCCTGCCGACACTCTCGGCTGCTAAAACAAACACTTGACTGGTGGGGTTTCATCCTGCAGCCCTACCTGCCAGCTCTGGCTGTCCGGGAGTATGGTTTCGAAGCCAAAATGTGTCGCAAATTGAGCTTTCTGTGACTTCATGAGTGTGGAAAGTGAAGTTGGCAAAGTTTAACAGGGGAGGTTTTGCTTCAGGCGCGAGGCCACGCTCCCTCGCTCAGGGCCAGTTCTGGCCGGGTCCCCTCTTAGTACGGCGTATTTGCAAGCAGAGTGCTGGACAGGCCTGAAAAGCTTCCCCTGAGTCATTACGGCATATTTAATTGGAGCAGCAGTTGCTGGGCAGGCTCGAAAACAAGGCTTGAACTCAAAACCAGTTTTGGACGGCCTCGAAAACAATGCTTCGACTAAATAGGGCGTGTTGAGGCCAGTTCTGGACGAGCCTGAAAACACACTTTAAGGGCACCCCCCGGCAGCCTGAAAACAGTCGGGGACTTTTGCTTTAAGGCAGACATATGCAAACAATTAGGATGCTTGGGGTGCCACGACTTTCATCCGAAATTCAGCTAATGTGGCTAAATACACGAAAGCACATAGAAAAGTTGACTGCTAACATGCTCCTTGAGTTTATTCCAGGCCAACACTTCAGCAAAACTGGTCTGCTTCATTCCTGAAACCATGCCGCCAATTCGGACAAAGGATTGGAAAACAGCGCTCGTTCCGTTCCGGTGCAAAGATTGACAGAGACCCCGGACTGAACACCACCCGGGCCCCCTTATAACAGACTCCGGGAATCCTTCGAATAAAATGATCAGAACCACAAGCTCAGGCTTCCGCGTTGATGATTGTGTCGTAAATGTACTGGGACTTCGGAATGTCGTAGCCCAGCATGTACCTTTGGAGAAGTGGCGCTGAGGCGGTCCACCTTGTAAGGGTTTGGGGCACTTCAGCTGGCTGAGGCCGATGATGATGGCGGCGCCACTGGTAAATCCACTGATGACCTTGTGCTAGGAGCCGATCCCTCCGTCCTCTTCACCCCGCCTTTGTCAAAATTTGCTCCAAGGCCAAGACTGGGTGGCCTAGAAATGTGACCAGAAAACCCAGTTTCAGAATGCTCGCCGCAACCTGCATTCGTGCAACTTCGGAGTGCAGAAGCCACACTTTCAAAATGTTCAAAGGAGCCGTGTCCAGCTATGCGTGTGCCTGCATCACACCGACCAGCGCAGCTGCAAGGCAAGCAAGGCCAACGTACTCGCTGGTGCACACCTGGGCCGCTGCGATGCGCAGCCCACCCCGATGCCCCTCTGATCCCTCTCTCTGCCTCGTACTGTGCCTTGCCGGCAACATTGCACTCCTCAGCTCTCGAAGCCCGAAGTTGCCCAGCACTCTGTGAGGTTTCCTCTTCGGTCCCTGGCCGGCCCGAGGCTTCCGTTGAGGCCGGCTTCGATGAGAAGCGACACCTCGAAGCCAAGCCGGAAGAGAGGACCCGGAGTGAGTTCGGAAGCCGAGATCTGCGCCATGGCCACGGGACCCACGGCCAGCTGCCGGCTCTGGCCAAACAAGGCATAGACGAGCGTGGGCACCTGGGACGCTGCGCACCCCTCTGCACTTTTTCGCTCCCCCCCGTTTCGGCCACGCTGAGATGTCAACGCAAGCCGAGTACATGCCATTGATGTATGGAAGCCCTCATTGCTTACAAGAGCCATCGATGTCGGGACAGCTTACACAGCATGACGTGGTGTCGCCTGCGATTGCTCCGTACGACATGCTCTGCGGAATCACCATGACACCGACCTGAGTCACCAAAGGACTGTAGAGACACCGCTGACGAAGAGGGAAAACCGGCTAGCAACGTGCCATACCTAGGGCGCACGATACCCGCCATATAGGAGAGCGAGAGCAAGGGGTAGAGGGAGGGAGAAAAGAAGCTAGACGCGGGCAGACAGCAGTCTGCCGGGCAGGCAGGCAGGCAGGCAGACAGAAAGATCGTCGGTGCTGCGCGCACTGAAGGTTCATTTGGCCCCAAGCCGTCAGACCAGCCACGAGGTCGGCACGAATCTGGATGCGGCCACACATCGGTGTCTCTACAGAACCCGTTGGCGATTTATTCGCTCCATGCTCCCTCACCTTGTGGAAGGTGAGCTCTGGCACCCACTGGAGGATCGTCACGATCTGAGAACTTCTGAACTAAGACTGGAAGATTGTTGGCACCTCTGCAGCCTCTGCTTCACAAAAAGATATGCCTTGCTCATTTTGTCCAGCATGGTCTGCTCTCTCCGCGGCCTGCAGAACATGAAGCACAGTCGTCGTTTGCTCCAGCTTCAAGTCCGCGCGTCGACGAGTTGAAAATATTGCCCAGTCTTGTGAAAAACTTGCGCCGCCCTACGGGAAACCACGGCAAACTCAGACTTGCACACGAAACAACCGAAGCACGATCCCTGTGAATGACAATCAGAGGGTCCCTGACAAGGTCGATCAGCCGACTCTGTACAATGGTTCCACAAGTCTTCGAAGAGTGAACTCTCCTTGCTCTCAAGGCATTCAACATGAAACTCAATGGTCCCTCAGCCAAGACCTGGCCTCCTCGGCTTTGCCTTCGGCGTGGCGCTATCCTTAGGAGGGCAAAGCAAACTAACCAGAACGAAACTCAACACTTCTAAAGCGATGGCCATTCATCATGCAAACCCTCGTTCGGAAATGTACCAATATACCAAGTCTCATCCACAACACCATTCAGGGAGTCGACACCTTAGCTGGCCATCTACCCTCCCATCACAAAGGTCAGAGCAACCGTGGCTTCGACAGGATCGCAGACATGCTTTCAGTGGATTGCTTATGAGCTGGCGCTCCTGGCACACAGCATCACAGTGTCCCTCGAGCTGGGTTGATGAAGGCTTCCCTTCCACGGGCTCCTGCAGGATCTCGCGCTGCTCTTTGGTAGTATCTTCAGAGCAGGTGGTGATCTCTATGGACTCGCCCTGGCACTGTGCCGGCCACACAGACTGCGGTGAATCTCTGGCTGCTTTCCCAGTACACGAACACTTCTCGACGCCCTATGACTCTATGACCCTTCGGTCACCTTCTCCATTTTGCCAATGAAAACTTCGTCATGCTTCCATCGAGGTTCGATCCTTGGTGCAAGCTTCCATGTCGTTTCGCCAAACATCTCCTCCTCCCTGGGGTACACACCCACTCCCAATCGCAACTCCATGCATGCCGGCCATGGCTGCAGGATTCTGTTCCGAAACTGCCGCGATTCGCTGCTCGTTTGCATGTATGAGGCTATCTGCGTCTCTGCTTCTGCTAGCCGGTGTGGCTTCGGAAGACAACACATTTGCTCCATGGTAGGGCGAGCGCGGCTGTGTAGAGCTTGAAAGGGCGGAAGATACGGCAAGGAGCGGCTGCCAGGAGGGGCTACAGAGGGGCCGAGATGCAACAAAGAGATTTGGGAGCACTGCTTCTCGTATTCTCGCTGCTCCGAACCACTCGAGCATCCATGGGCGCAAAGTGCAGCGAGGCAGCGTTGGCCAAGCTGCTTCCAGCGCAGATCTATGTACAAAGGTGGAAATGGCCCACAGAGTTTGCAGGCCCTTTCTCATGTGGTCGCTTTGACAGCTATGATCTGCCGTCTCATGCTGCGAGGGCGTGGCTCAGCATCAGGGTGAGGTATGCATTTTGTATGCGTATATGTCTACACCCATAAGTATGAGTGATGAAAGAGACAAACTCGACCAACATACATACACCATGATAACTGCACAAGGCATCTGAGAGGACCACAATGTGCCAGACACGGAGACCCATAGATTTAAATTTGGTAGGATTAGATAAGATGAGATTAGACCAGACAGGTTAGGCTAGGACCTAGGTAAGATTGGATGAGATCAAACTACTGGTAGATTAGAGTAGTGAGATTAGACCAGCCAGACAACAAGATAGATCGGTAGACAGATAGGACAGGTAGATAGACAGATAGACAGACAAACACACCGACAGGCGGATGGACAGTTAGAAGCTAGAATCAGGTGGGTAGTTAGTCGTTGGGATAGCAAGATAGTTCAGATATATCGGGAAGACAGGATAGCTGGAATGGACTTCACAAATACCTTACAAGTATTGTGAAGTCGCGGTGCAGGATCGGAGATCCGCAGCGAACCAGCCGCCTGCGAAACAATAGGAGCGAGATAGGACACGTTGGACATATTCTACAGATAGGATAGATAGCACAGACAGGATAGATACTGTAGGGTAGGATAGATAGGATGGGGTACATTAGGACAGATAGAATGGATAGATAGGTAGACAGATAGATAGAAAGGTGGACAGGCAGGCAGACAGACAAGCTGATAGATAGACAAGCAAACGGGCAGACACAAGAACCCGTCAAGTTCGAAACGAAACGCGATAGAATCTAGCAGAATCTAGCATAGACTCAACCCTCTGCTCGGGAATGGGACGTCCGAGGTTTTCAAGTGCGAAGAGCTGGGTTTCGGCAATCGAAATTTGTCTACATTATCATCGTCGTGAACTTCTGCAAGTCTGGCATGCCATCCTCATCGTCTTCGTCTGAATCCTCGGCAGATGGTGCGAGGAATGGATGTTGGCTTTATCGCGAAGTCCACAAAAAGAATCTAAGGAGAGTGAGCCATGCCATAGGGAGCCAGCCTGCACCTGGCTTTCAACCGATGTCTGACACATGAGGATTTCTCACAATTACCTTCTCCCGGTTTTGGAGACCCCCCCAAACAACAAAAATCCAACGCCCAAGGCCCAAGGACTTTTGACTTGCACAAGAGGAAGTCTCTGGTAGGTACGAGAACCTAACTAAGATAAATAAGTTGAGAGGAGAGGAGCGGGCATGTCCATGTGAATCGTCTCCGAGAGCTTCTTCTCGGAGATCTTCGCCTCACTACCTGGGCCGCAACTAGGCCCGGCGGCTGCATTCGCCACGCTTTGACAGTTCACCAAACGACCCTCGCAACGCTACCACAAGCCCAAGCCAGTAGCAATAAGAGCACAAAGCGCCACCGAGCAGCCTGAGCCCGAAACACATTCCCGTTCGCAGCTCTGCTCCCCGGTGAAAAACACTGGTGACATGCACCGGGTCTCCAGCTTCTCACGCGCCTTGTCTTTGGTCTGCTGGATCTTTTCCTTCACCTCCGTATGCTTGGATGCATCCAGAAGAGAGACTAAACGACCACCGAAGCTTGTGTTGTCTGCCTTTGCAGCCGCCCTCTCAGCGGCTAGCTTGGCCACATGCTTTGCCAAGCCTCGCCTGGAGTATATCTCAGCACGACGAATGCACCTTGCACACGGAGAAAAGGTCCAGGTCCCTGGCTTATTTTGTTCGCCCTTCGGCATCTTGATCATCGCATTGTAAACCATGCTCTCTGTTACCTTAGCATTGACAGCGGTGCCTCTAGGTGCTAAGATTCACCACATCTCACCGCTCCTCGTAGGCGAATACTTCCGCTTTCAATGAGTCTCCAACTTGCCAAGAGCACGTCCGCTCTTGAGGCTGGTGCCGCCCACACAAAGCCCAGTGGTCCACCCAAGCCTCCAGCATTTGCACGATGATCCCAGAATTGCTGCGAACACCCGGGGCGTTGGCGCAACTTCAGAAGGCGAAGGCTCTCGTCGTGATCTTCAGCAATGGCGGGTGTGCTAGCTGCTAGCTTGCAGTTCTGGCTGTCGCTACATCAGAAGCTTCTCGGAGTATTGATCTTGAAGCTTATTGACAAAAGCGTGCCTCGAGTACATGCGCCGCTGTGCGCTGTGCGCACCATTACGAATGATGAGATGGCATATGGCAGGAGAATGGCACTTGCTGGCCCGA